AGGGGTGTTCTCTGCGGGGGGCGGCGGCGGCTGGGATTTATTTATTTAGATGTATTGAATTTCTACCCCGCCCTCAGGGCGACTTACAAACAAAACCAACAGACAATTTAAAATCAGGAATTGCAAGATGCAACGAAGGCCCCGCAATCGAGTCGGCGGAGAGGGGGGCGAGGGCCACGCAGAAGAAAAAGCCCGAAGCGACGAGGCTCTTCGTCAGAGTCAAGGTTGGGGAAACCCTCCCCTCCCCCCCAGGACTCTAGGGGAAGGGGGAAGAGAAAGGGCGCTGGAGCACCGGCTGCCAGTGGTGTGCCGTAGCTGGCAAGGCAGGGTGGCGCAGTGGCCAGACTCAGACTTGCAGCCCATCTTTTTGAGAGAGAGAGAGAAATATCCCCTCCTCCGTCGCCTGCTAATCGCGACCCCCGGAGATAGATCCAGGTGGGTAGCCGTGCTGGTCTGAAGCAGCGGAACAAAGTTGCAGTCCACTGGCGCCTTTAAGACCAACACAGTTTAATTCGGAGCGTAAGCGTTCGTGTGCACGCAGCCGCACTGGCCAGAATAAAACTTTGCCTTAAAGGGGCCGCTGGGTTCAAACTTTGTTCTACTCACAGATCTGCAGACCTGGATTTTAACACCAACTCTTGCGAGCAAAACATCCTGTTCCCAAAATCTTGGGAATGCCTGGCAGAAAGGCATGTCCATCAGTATTTTAAATAACTGTCTCATATGAATCCTCCACCTGGTTTGATCAAGAATAAGACAAACCACAAACAAGCAGAGGAAATTGACAGAGGAAATGGCAACATAACCAATTAACTCTCTTCCTATTTATTGCCCTCCACTGGTACAGACAATGGCATCCTCTCCTCTGCAGCCACTAGGAAAAAGGCAGAATGATAGAGTTGGAAGGGACCTCCAGGGTCATTTATACGTTTATTTATAAAAGCCATCAAGTCCAACCCCCTGTACAATGCAAGAAAATCACAAATACCTCCTCCTCCACACCTCCAATGACCGCTGTTCCATGCCTAGAAGATGACAAAAAACCTCCGGGATCTCGGGGCCAATCTGGCATGGAGAAAAATTACTTCCTGACCCCAAAGTGGGGATCAGCATTTCCCTGGGTGTGTAAGAAAGGGCCACAAGAACTAAGCACTGAGGCAACCCTTCCCACCCTCCCTTTTCATGATCTGCCTAAGTTCACAGAATCAGCATTGCTGTCCGATGACCATCTAGCCTT